CATACCCAGGGAGCCTTCAGGTGGCTCGCAAATGCCTTAAAGTAAAACAGCATCTTGCAAGACGGATCTTTCAAAGGCGGCGAGATCTGGTACCGCTGCGGCCCCGCTGAGCCGACCTGCGTTTCCCAGGCGATGCGTGCGCCCCAGGGCCTTGGAGGGCCGCTGCTCTCTCGTGAGAAACAGCTTCGGTCTGAGAACCACCCACGGCCCCGGCCGCGTTCAGCCAGGGAGCCGGCCATCCAGAACAGTCATCCTTCTGGGCTTTAATTTTCCCATCTCTCAAACGGGAATCATCCGTCTTTATTTAATGAATAGTAAAGGGGAGAAGTTAGTGGCACTGTATTCACATACTTCACATTGGTGAGTTCCAAGATGTTAAAACACGTGGAAACGTTGAAACGCTGAATACCCTTCCGCGGCGGCCGTGGTGGCGCCTTCGCTTTGACTGCAGAGAGCGAGGTTTTCACAGCGCCCCTGCCGCGTCTCGTCCCGCCTTCCCTCACGTACAGGATGTAAGTCATCCTCCAAAAGTTGCTCGGAGTAAAACCCTCAAGGAGACAATTCAATTTCCAAATGTAAATTCCAACAACATACAGAGGGCCCACCATTTTTTCCGGTGCCCCAGTGAGAAATGAGGTTTTCGACAGAATGAGATTGCCTTTGACATTGCTGCCGTTCCTGCGAAGGGTTTTTCAATGTGAAAAGAAGCCGTTTCTGTTGGGAAAGGGTTTGTTCGCGTCCAGTCGAACGTTGACGCTTGTTCAAGACAGAAATGATGCCGAAAGACATGAACATTCACTGTCATGTGGTTTTGAAAGGTTGGTTTCTGAGCCATCATCACGCGCTGTCATTGGCAGAGAGCCTGAGATTCCTGCCACATGTGAGCACACACGTGGGCTCAGCGGTACCCCCACCCCCAACTCCCATTCGCCCTGCTGCCCTCACTCGGCCCCTACCGCAGCCCGGAGCTTGTCGGATTCAGAACTCGATCTCAGTGGAACAGCAGATTTAGAGTCTAGACATTTTGCTGTTAATAAGATTATGATGGTCAAACATCAACTTTCTACAAGCGATAATATAAACAGGCGAAAAATAACTAGAAAACAACACTCGATGCATGAAAATAAAGCTTTTCTTTATTTGATTTTCATTATTTAACATACGAGAACGACGGGATAGGACAGGAGCCTTTCCTCATGCCATTAAAACTCAGTCGTGGGCATTCAGACATTAATCCCGCCGAATTGCTTTTTCCTCCCCCCAAAAGATTGTGTAATATTTAGAGGACACAGAATCAAATGATCTGGAACCTTGATTTGTGTTGGGTTAAAGGTGATCCTGAGCGGGATTCACTTTCGTGGTCAGAACCATATTCTTCCCGGGTTGGTCATCTCATCCACAGAAAGATTTATAATAAAGGCCGGTCGTTATTCTGTGACACTTTAAAAAAATCAGCCGTCACCGAGGGACCTTGGCAGATTACAAAGGGGATACGACAGACGTCCTGGGAAGGCATCTGAGCTCCATTTCCGGGTCGGTGACCTCTGCGACCCTGACAAAGTACCTGTTCTTCCTAGGTCTTGGTTTCTTCCTGAATAAAGTGGGTAGAACTAGATTGTCCCTGAAACCTCAGATTTTACTGCTTAAAGGATGGCTGCGCCTTACTGAGCAGGGGCACAGAGCATCTCAGGCTGATCCCAGGTCTTACTTTCTGCTGGCCGACCACCCAGGCGTGGGCACAGAAAGCAAAGGGTCTTAAAGCAGGACCCCCTTCATCCCTTAAACACGTTTCTACATCACGGCCAGGACGCTGTTTCGAGCCATTCCAAGATATGGGTCAGCTCTTTACGCAGAGGGGATAAAGCACGGCAAAGCCGACGATTTCATGAAACGTTTTTCTGAGCTCTAAGCACAAATCTGTTTTTCGTACTGGATGCTACCGCCAGTCAGCAGGGTACGTTTTAATTATTATTTTAATTTCGCGTTGGCAGAAAGACAATGTCAGATACTGCCTTTCGAGGGGAACGCTTCCTTTGGGGGGCCGTTGGAGTCTCTGTGCTTTTGGCTCAGTGCTCCCAGCATATACGAGACACATATTGGTTTCCCCCAAACTACACTCCACGCAGTGCTTACCCTACCGCCCCAAGGACCCGAGACACACTTCCTGAGAGGGGCCGTGCCCCGGGAAGCTGTGGGCCCGCACCGAAGGGCAGGCTGCAGTGGACAAAGCCGTCGCGTCAAGAATAGCTGTGAGAACAGTGCTTAATGCAGGCCACGCTCAGATACCAAAGACTCCTGCACACACAACCGGAAAACATGCCCCGTTTGACTTTGCTCGGCCGTCAACTCTCCACCATCAAGAATTACTTGAACTGATGCATGTTGGTAAAATATTTTGTATAGCGCCTTTAAAAGTGTTTGTTTATTTATTTCTGCCAACCCGCCGTAGCTTGCTCTCGGTAACAGCGATAAGGTTCTCACACCAGACATTCCTCTTTTTGTAAGTTATAACAGCATAACTCTGAAGGTCTAGTAAAACCGAATCAGGAGCTTTAAAATGCCCACACCGACGGCATCGATAAGCCAGTGTTTTACATTTCGACTTCTGAAATATGGTCCTCAACATTTAATTCAGGGCCCTCACAAAAAAAAAATTAGTGACAGAAAATCTAACTTCGAAAAGCCCCAACCCCTCCCCCCAATTAACTAACGTTTGCATAAATTTTGTGTCTTTAAGTGTCATAAAAACCAAGCAATATTTCATAAAACGAGAGAGTGGAAAGCATAGAGAACGTGAGTGTGAGTCCAAAGACCAGGGCATTTTTGCGTCTGGGTCACGTTCATAAAACTTGCGTCTGACCCCCAGGAAACGCCCATCCACAGTCGACCCGGCTCGCTCTTTTTCCTTTTGTATTTTTTTCCTGAAAGTTGCATGTTGCTCGTCTGTGTTTATGTAATTTAAAAGACTGCATTCATTCCATATGTACACGTGGCAAAGTGATCAAGACAGTCTCCGTACTGAGCACCCCTGCCCCACTGTAAAGGAGACCCCGAATGTCGCAAATGCACGCTAACTGGGGACTCCGCGAAGGGGTTAAAACATTGCCCGTTACGCGTCGGGGTGGCCACCGTAAATGTTAACCAAATAAAAGCCAGAACAGGAAGCCAGAAAAGCGGGTCCCTCCGGCAGGCGGGCATGTGTCTTAAGTGATGTCATCTGTCGGGTTTCAGCCTCTCGTGTGGCGAACGCGAAACGCAGATCTGTGTGGCGCCGAGGACGTTACACCGTCGTTAGCTGGAATGTTCCCGCGGTCCATAGCGCGGGGCTTCCATTTTAATAAGCAGCAGCTCCTGTGACTGCGCTTTCGTTAGAGAAACACCGGATGTAATACTAATGACCATTTATAGACGCGCATCCTACCCGCGAGAAACTCCTTTCGGAGGAAACCACGTAACGGGAATTTATAGAACATATCATGCAAAACTTCTGGGTCGCTGCTTTGGCAAACTATTTTTTTAACGCTGAAATCAGTCAACAGCGGAAGTCATCACCAAAGAGATCCGAGTCGACATTGTTGGTACTTTTCTGCAGGCAAAACAAATCTGCAGTCGCAGGGGAATGGTCGGGAGGAGGTGGGACTTCCTCCCTTCTTGGCACACTTACCAGCCAAGCCCCTCCATCTGCCCAGCCGGGGACCTTGAGGCTGACATGCAGAGAAGGCCACCCTGAGAACCGAGAAATAATTCACCCCGACCGGCCCCATCTCTAAAACAAAGACTGACAATTGCCCTGAATTATGGCTGTACTTTTTGTGATATGTAATACAGTTCAGAAGAAAGGTGTTGAGAGCATCTCACCATTTCACCTCCCATTAGAGGCTGGTCTTGCACGGTCATCCCAGAAGACACTGCTGCTGAACTGTGACCCTCAATTTACAAATCATTTTTCAGAAGAATAGAAAAAAAACGTTTAAACATATTTTTGGCATTATCTGAATGGGCGGAATCTTTCATACTTGTTTCCTAAGAGTAAATGAAAACAGCATGCACTGTAGAGTCCCTTAGTTCGGGGAACGAGAGAGCATGAGGGTTTCGGATTATATTTGATTTCAAACCTGGGCATTGGAATTTTTTTTTTTTTTTAACATAGCTGAATTTAGTGTATTCCTTCAAAACACAATAAATTCCTATTCTGTAGCTTAAGGGATCCATCAGTAAAAATGTTGGTCTTTCATCTTTATTACCCTCCCATTAAAATGAAAGAAACCGGTGCACTTCAGTTTAGAAGGAGCAATTTAGTTGGCAATATCCGTACCCAAGTCTTGGCAAAGGGAGAAAGTACATTATTGCTTAGATTTCCCACATCTATCTGCATAAGAAGCAACTGAGCCCATCGACATATACCATGTTAAATTTAATAGTACCCTTTGATGAGACGATTTGATTACGTCTTTCCGTTTCCAGTCATTTCCCGTGCAGTTCCATTCACGGAACCTGCCCCCTCCTCCTCGTTTGTTTGTGTCTCTGAAAGCGAGGCGCAGCCTCTTCCCGCGCTGCCACGGCCGTTCCGTCTGAAAGGGACAGATTAATAACCGAGCCCCACGTCGGACCGGCTCCCCTTGTACCCTGCACTGGTCACCCTTTGCTATAATGAGGACACAAAGAGCCTCGCATCAGGCTGCTACCTTTCTTCATAACTCAAAAGCGTCACAGTGGCAATAGCCTCTTGTGCCATTTGTCTTTAGTGCAGTTGTGACACTTCGGCATGATCCATAATTTGGCAGCTATTTACCGTGACATTTCCCTTCAGTGCGGCCATAACATTCAGTGAAGCCATTATTTGGTCCCATTTACCATATAAATTGTATTGTTGTGCGTGCATGCTAGCAGCTACATTAGGTACCTGAAAATGAGTAAATCTTGTAAAATAGATACTAACAGCTATCGGATGTAGGATTTCCTTGTTCCTCGGACGGAAGGAAAAAAAATTAAATACGGTCTCCAAGTTTCATGGACCACCTTTAATTGTCTATATTTATTGAGCACGTGAGAGATGCGGGAACCTAAGGCTTTGAAAAGTAACATGGTGGGTTTTGCAAGGCGCCGGGGGTTTCCATGAGGAAGGCTGTGGCGGTCTTTGGTGAGCTGGAGGTTAGGAGGCAGGTAGGTCGGCTACAGGCATGACTCGCAAGACAAGGCACGTGACTTGTTACTTTCCTATGTGACGTCAGGCAATAGGGACAAGCAGCACCTCATTCTACCAGGACGTGGGAACAAGGTAAATGGGGACGGAGGAGCAGGGACTGCTATTCTGTGGCCCCATGATCAGAGATGAAACACGCCTTCCACGTCTGACGGTCTCGGACAGGAAGCCAATGTATATTATTCCGGGTCACTCTGGTCCCCGCCTGGCAGGGCGCGATTTGGCAAACCCGGCCTCAGGTCCGTGGGCCTTGCTGGTGGGTATCACTCGCGCGGTGCCCGGATGGCTCGCGCCTGCATGGCACGTGTTTCGTCACGTGGCCCACGCTGTGGATGGGACGCACACTTGCCCCTTTGCTGGGCAAGTAGCACGTTTTTCAAGTCCCCGGATCCCTGTGATCCCCTTTCCCAAACCCGCTCTTTGTCCGTGTTACGTCTTCAGCATTGCTTTGCGTCTTGAGGGAGGAGAGCAAAGCTCCATGCCACGTGTGCCTCACAGGACGATGGTGCGCAAAGGCCACGAAATACCAGGCACTTCTTTAAGAAAGGCCTGTGTTCACGTAATCACTTTTCTAATAATCTCACAGAATCAGTTTGGGGAGAATTCCTCGAAATTTCTATTTAGATAGTTGGCAAGTGATCTATGGAAAAAGAAGGGCCATTTTCTGAGAATACAGACTCTGAAACATGACGTTTGCTATAACCTCTATTTATTAAGTACTTATTAGCCTAAGACCAAACTCTCCCAAAGCAAAGAATTTGTGAACTATTTTCAAGACCGATTTTAAAATCTCATCAAGCTGAAGACATACTGATTTGATCAGCTCTCGCATCAGGAATTAATTTAGTTCCAGGAACAATAAAATCTGGAACGAGACTGTCCATGACCAGAGGATTGAACGTAAAGGTTTAACTCTGAGCTGTGGAGGGAAGTTTCATTCCACATTTTTTTTTTTTTCAAAGGAGGGGCGACACGAGGAAAAGAGGAAAGCAAAAGAGAAACCTGTTCGTTAACACCTTACTTCTGTTTTAAGAAATATTATCTCTACTACCAACTAAAAATAAATCGATTTGAGTAATTCTGAAGCATAAGGCGCCCATTCTCTTTCTTCTTTGATTTATGTCATTGTTCTGTTTTTACAGCTTACTGTTGACAGAGTGAGGTAATTCAACTACAATTTTTCCAGTGTTTTTTCTCATGTATATATAGTCGACAGCCCGGAATATGGACTCCAGGCCGGTGAACCTGCCCTCTGCAGAGAGATCTCCCAGGTCCACCTCACAGGCTAGGTCTCCACTTGTATACATCTTAAGCAACTGGTCCATGGCCGCGCTACGCTTTGAAAAGTAATGGTTCAAAAAGAAGCCCTGGATGCTGGCAGATTTCTTTAGCAGTGTGGCTGGTAATGTTTCTGCTTTCACGGGCGAAAGGCCAGTAGGAGTTTGGTAGCCAGATATGAACCCAATGAGGATCAGGCACCCTTTCACGGCCAAGGCATCCACAGCCAGGTCAAACATGGTCCCCCCCACAGACTCGTATACCACGTCCACACCTTTGGGGTACTCCCGCTTGAGGACAGTGTTGATGTGTTCCGTGTTATAGTTGATGGGACGGTCACAGCCCACAGATTTCAGAAAAGCAGCCTTTTCATCAGAGGAGCAGGTTCCGATTACATGGCACTTGGCCTTCTTTGCAAGCTGCACGGCAAACTGGCCTGTCCCCCCAGCTGCTGCTGTCACCAAAACTTTTTTCCCTTCCGACAGTTCTCCGAACTCTGACAGGCTGATGTATGCAGTGGTCCCACTTACCAGCAGGGTGAGGTACTCAGGTTTCAGAGAGGGCACTGCGGTTGCTTTGCTGGCAGGAACCACTGTGTACTCAGCAAAAGAGCCAGGTGCCATGTAAGCCACAGACTGGCCAACTGTGTATTTGGCACTGGCAGAGAGGCCTAAGGCGACCACCTCTCCCACACCTTCGAAACCTATGTCAAAGGGGATCTTGACTGACGGGTCATATCGGCCAGCTGTGTAGTTGATGTCAGATGCATTAACACCAACAAATCTAGAAGAAAACAAACAAAATATTCAGATGTTTCCTTTGTTAAGGCCTTTGTAGTCCACTTAAAAAATCACCCTAATTCCAGTGACTGGAGGGCTGGCTAAGGTACATATTCTAATAGAATTTGAAAAAAACCAGCCGTGATACTCAGTTAAAAAAAAAAAGAAAAAGAAAAGAAAAAGAAATTAAGTATTAGTTCAACAGCGATTTGCAATCAGTTTTGCAATTTTTTTTATCAGTTTATGAATAACTTCAATCACTTTAAACACTGAATTATTTATCCCACGTGCCATTTATTTCCCTCCTCTTTCATTCAAAAGGACAAATAAACCAAAAAAAAAAAAAAAAAGGAAAAAGAAAACTAAAGAAACCCTCATACACGAACTTCACTGCAGCTATGAGTTGGAAATTAATTGGCCTCTTAACAAAGACGTTAAAAACAACAGTGGGATAAAATATATTCAAAGAAGTAGACTTGTATTGATTTTGGCAACAATTTAACACTTCGGATAATAATAGTAATGACAATGATATTATTAAAGATTGATGCAATGTGCAAGGTCACTGGTTGTTACATGTCACCGCAGGGGTCGTTTGAAACATTGTTAGCGTGGCTGCAGCAAATTTTCTTTCTGATGTAACAACGTCCAGTGTGAAAATATGCACTTTGATTAATTGAACAAAAATTGTCTCAGAAGGGTACAAAGATTTTATGGAACATTCAACATTTTACAGTCCTTTTCAGATGAAAATGAAAGCAAATCGTCACTATATTTTTCCTCAACAAGAAGCAGAGACATGAGTTGATTAATACCAGATGATTATTTTCACTTTGGTATCCAGAGTCGATTTAATTGCAAGGCCAGTCTTTTTACCAGCTTTTTTTCATCTCAGTATACCTCATAACAAAAATATCCCGATACATAAGGGAAAAAGAGCCATCTACAAAGAATGTCAGGAGGTGGCTTAGACACATAATGCAGGACCCTAAAAATGTCATTTCCACCTGTAATGAAATGAAAAGATGGTGGTATCTGATGGCAGGACGAAAGCTGCTAAGTAGGTCATTTTAAAATAATTCACTTTTAATCTGATTTAAGAAACCAAAAGTGCCCTGTGCAAGGACCGACCTCCACTGCAGCACAGGTAACACCTCGCACTTAGAAATGCTCCCTGATGATGATGCCCGGACGGCCAGGATACTGACAGCTCCCTACGCGTAGTAGAAATAAGAAAGCAGGAGACCATTCTTTAGAGCATGTCAAGCTGCTTTCAGAAGTCGGCATACCACACAGCCCCCACGACAGAGGCAGAATTCCACACCCATAAACGATCCGCAACAGCGAGGAGGAGGAGATGGTTTTTGCTGGTTTCTCATGTGGCATTTAATGCCAAGATGGTTGCATTCTATTTTTCTTTTTGGGGGGTGGGGGGTGGGGAGGTGCTACCTATTCTTAAATTTACCCAATCTTTAAGGCCTGGTCTTTTTAAAAAGGGCCAGCTGCCTGAAAACAGTCTCCCTGGACTGCCCAGGAGACGAGCCGGGAAGACCCAGCTGCAGCGCCTCTTGGTGACTCTGCCTGGGATGTGAAGTAAACTCCAGGAAGGCGTCTGTGGGGTGGAAGTGACCTCAGGGTTGCTTTAGAGGTGGGGGGCTGGGGCCCCCACAATTAACCCTTCCCGATCCCCTCCAGCTTTGTCCCCTGTGGCGTTTCTGCAGTCCCAACTGGAGAGGCAGCCGTTCCTCTGAGGAGGGTGGGGGGAGGGCGCCTTGGACTCAGAGGGATACTGGGTGGCAGCAGGCCCCTAGGGTCCCCCTACCTTGTATGCGCGCCCTGGGGGGGCCCTCGAGCAGGAAAGCTCTGCTGGAGGAAACCGCAGTCTAGCTCGCCCCCGCCCCCGCCCCGGCCCCAAGTTGTGGCTTGCCACTACCCAGGGACAGGTGGGAGGCTGAGCAGGGCACACACGCTGGGAGGAAAGCTAGGGAGAGGGCACGCCCGCCAGAGGGGACAGCAAGGGCCAAGTGTGTGTATAGGGGAGGAGGGGGAGTGGGCCCTGCTGGGAAGGGGGGTGGCTGCAGCCGACCAGCGGCGGCTCGAGTTTACCGTGGGGGCTTTGCTTAAAAAACCAAGTCGCCCTGCGGCTGAGCGGGGCAAGCGCTGCGCAGCACCCGGAGATCCGCAGGCCGCTGCGCGCCCCGTCCAGGCTGCGTCCAGAATCGGTCTCCGTCTCCCCCGCGGGGCGCCAGAGGTCCGCGCTTCCGGGACCGTCTCCCTCGGAAGTGCCCGGCCTCCGCCGACCGTCCGACCCTCTGGCCCCGAGGCCAGTCCACGGCCACCAGCGAGAGGCGCGGCCAGTGTCCCAGACTCCCCGAGCGGCCTGGAGCTGCGCGGGCCGCGCTGGGGTGAGGGGCCGGCGCGCAGGCCCGCGCCCGTGACCTTGGCTTCGCTGGGCCCGGTGGGGATCAGGGCAGGCGCTCCTACCGCGGAGCGCGGGCTCAGGGGCGGTCAAGTTCTGGGCGAGCCAGAGCACGCGGCGCGCCAGGGCGCAGTGGCCGCGGGACAGAGGCCTGCCGGCGGCCGGACCGTGACCTGGGCCTCGCAGACGCCCCCATTTTCCATGCCACCCCAGCCCTGCCGTCCTCTAAATGGCTTGCGTCGTGGGCGAAGGAGTCTCAGGCTGGCGCCGACGGCCCACGGCTACTCGCCTGCGCGCACCTCGCCCTCCCCGGTCGCCGGGCCTCCGGGGCGGCCCCCGCCTCTCCGGGGACCTTGGTTTAGAGGCTGCGCGGCGGCCGAGGCTGGCGGGGACCTGCCGGTACCAGACGCGCCTTCCAAGGGCCTTACCTGGGCTTTGGGAAGAGCTGCCTGAGGGTCGGCGGCCCGCGCCCTCCGCTCCACCAAGGGCAAGTTCAAGAGCAGCAGGCGCCACGGGAAAGGGGCCCGCGTCCGGGAGCGGCGGGCAGGAGGCGCGATCGAGAGGAGAGAAGAGAGATCCGCCGGGAAAGGTGGGCGCGCTCGGAGGCCCCCCACGTGCCCCCTTTAATTTAAAATATGTGCTTTTAATGAGTGCAGGGTTCCGGCGGCCCGACGGCAGGACCCGCAAGAAAGACTGATGTGGAGGACCCGCAGGAAAACAAATGGGACACGGCAGGCGCTCCCCCAGTATAGACCCTTCTAGAGTCGCCCCGTTTATTTATATTAAAAAGTGCCGAACCCCTTCGTCATGTTTATTGTGAAACAGGGCAGTCCTGTGTGCTGGGGGGAGGGCGGGGGACGCTTTCTCTCGACAAAACCCAACGGGAAGACTCTAGTCTCGAGCAAAAGCCTCCAATGCTGGGAGACAAAGTGGTCCAAACCAGACCCACCTTTCAAAAAAGAAGAAAAGAAAGAGAGAAAGAAAAAACATTTCGGCCTGGAGAGTCCACAGGAATCCTATTTCCCTCCTGTGAGCGGAGCCCGTTCATCAAAGGCGCCTTCCCCACCCCCCCTTCGCCAGCCTCGCAAACTCTTCGCTCCATTATCTCACACGCGAGCAGAAAATCGTTAGAAATATTTGGAAACGAAATAATGTGTCACTGTGGTACGAAGGTGGCTAAAAATAGCATGCAAACCGACTTCCCAGAGGGCGTCTCTCTCCCTTCTTTTTCTTTTCTGAGGGCTGGCCATCGAGGGGGACGGTGAAGTCGCCCTCGGATGTATGAAACAGGATAAAGGGACGTCAACTGTATGTCCTATGGAGATCGTCTGTGGCCCTCGTCACACCTTTCCTAAATGGTAAACTTGATGATTCTCATCGATGTCGAGCTTAAAAGCCCTTCTCTTCCTTGTGAATAAAGAAGTTGTATTTTCTGTAAAGATGGCAGGAGATGTGCAAATGGTTCAAGGGAAAGAAAAAGTCAGACCTCCAAACACCTTTCCAAATAAGTGGATTCGGGCTCAATCCATTCATTCCGGAGCAGATTTTATCGTGATAAAAATGAGAAGCGCTTGCATAAAATTTTCATGCAATCAACACTGTTCAGGGGAGATTTGGTCTAGGATTGAAATGAACCAGCAGTGAATTTTTAAGTCTCTATTCTTAAAAAGAAAGTCGGTGAGATGCTGCCTCCACTGATACTGTATGCACGAATAAAGGGTCTTCCTACAGTTGGCGGTGGGAGCAGATTTTCCAACGGAGTAGGGAAGGGGGGAGGCTGAGGTTCCGCCCCTTCCCCACACGCAGAAAACTGGCTCCACTCTCTTTCTGTTGCGGGCTTCAAGGTAGAATTTAGAGGTCAAGTTGTACGTATAAATATATTATGTATAGGAAAGGGATTCTTGGCATAGGTGGAGAGAAAAGGCAGGGAACTTAAAACAACCCAAACTGATGAGCTGCAAACAGGGGGGGCCGGCGCTCTCAGGCTCTGACCACCGAATTCGGGGACCCACCCCGCTGACGCAGCGCGGGGAGCGCCCGGGCACCGGGAGGGGTAGGGGGAAGGAAGGGGCGACAGGGAGCGTGAAGGGAGAGGAGTCGCAGGAGGTGAGTGGGCACCCGAGCGGCAGAGAGGCCGGGGGAGCAGGCGCCGCCGGGT